GTGGATGGATGTCCCAAACGTTTGTGAAGAAGGGAAGGATCCACTTGGGTAGCTAACGCAGTGGAGGACGAACGAAACAGAAACACTTCGTTGTGTGCATCACCCCGTCCAATCTCCATCTTCGTGACACAATCCTGTATGACGCAACAGTTTTTGTTAAAAATAACAAGACAGGAATTATCACGTATAAGGCATCCAATAGAAACAAGATTGCACTGCAAGTTAGGAACCAGTAAAACATCCCGAAGCACAACCTCGGGCGATAAACGCACACGGCCACGCCGAGTGGCAGTGGTGTGCGTGCCGTTCGGTAGTGTGATAACACACGGTCGCATAGAGACCACATCGGTTAAAAAGCAATATTACCAGTCATATGATGAGAGGCACCACTATCGATAAGCCACTCACGGGAAGAGGTGTCTCCGCTACTGCCGGCGTCCTTCTCAGAAGAGGGAGTATCCAGCATGGAAAGTAGACGTGTCATCTGATCAGGTGTGAGCCCCAAAGCATTGGAACTCGTAACCGCATGTGCTCCCCCTGTCGCAGCTCCACTCCCACGGCCAGGCGCACGCACAGTAGCGCCACCACCGCCTGGCGTTGTACGGCCACCGCCACAACCCCCGCGACCCGATGGGATGCCGTGGCCACGGCCTTTCCCAGGGGGGTACCCGTGGATTTGGTAGCAACGATCCACCGAGTGACCATCTTTGCCACAATGAGTACATGAGTAGTGGGGTGGGTCGCCACGATTCACAGTCGAAGGAGAACGTTGCATGGCAAAAGCGACTGCGTCCGTGCGGTCATCGCGGCTTTGAACAATGCTTTTATGGCGTTCCTCTTGGACAACCAATGCATAGGCACGATGGAGATCTGGAACAGGTTCCGTGGCGATAATCTGAGACCGGATGTGGCCAAATTGTTCGTCGTCGAGGCCAAGCAAAAAATGGTGGGTTTTCTCTTGTTCTTCACGTGCGCGGATCAAGACCGCTGCCTCACAACGGCAACCGCACGT